TGCTGCAGAAGAGCCTTGTTCTCACTTGGCCCTTGAGCTCTGCGCGCAGCCCAGCCGTGGCCCCTGTCCCCTCTCTGCTCTAAGCACATGAGCATTAAGATGAGGCACAGAGCGTGCCTGCTGCCCAGCGCGCTGGCCTCGGGGCAGCCCCAGGAGGGAGACTCCAAGGCAGCTTCAGCTTTGGGGTGGAAGAGCTGGAGGCGGCTGGCAAAAGAGGGGACTTTGTCAGGCAGGTTTAAAGCCATCCCTCTGGTACCGCGGTGGGACAGGGGGGGTGTGTGTCCCCACAGCTCGGTGGCCCCCGTCATACCTCCTGCAGGGGAGGTGTCTCCTCTTACCCCTTCTGTGTCTGCTCCCCCAGCCTGGCCCTCCATCAGAAGAAGAAGGGGTGTTAAATCTGATCAGCTGTTTGGAGACTGGAGCTGATCTCTGTGTGTCTGCAGGATCCACCTGATGGCTGGGCGGGTTCCGCTGGGCGCAGACCGGGCAGCAGTGGCAGGGGAGATGGAAACCACCTTCACTGAGAATCTCCGATATGCTGCTGACCTCCTGGCCCAGGTAGGGGGGAATGGGTCCTGCTCCATGGGTGCAGCATTTAGGGTACTGAGGATGGAGAATCTCCCCCCAGCCTGGCATGGGGAAGGAGCACTCCCCATGCTGGGTGACATTACTGTGTTACAGGAAGACATGGTTGGGCTGGTGGAGCCAATTAACAACCGCATCACTGACCCTCGCTACTATCTGAACACCCCACACCAAGGTAAGACAGACACCTCTCCCCAAAGTCTCCTTGAAGGGAGGAAAAGGATACCCAAAGTCTGAAAGGCAGGAGGTTGCCTCGCCTGTAGAGAGATGCCGAGGGACTACAGCTGATGAAGGGAGAGGTCAGGGCTTCACCATGAAGCTTCAAACCCAGGAGTGATGGCCTCTCATTTCTTGCACCCTTAGCTGCTGCCATCCTGGAGAAGGTGGGACGGCCCAACCTGAAGCTGCAACTGGTGAGTCAGCATTGAAGATCTCCAGGGTCCACCCTCCACCAGGAAACCTTGCACAGGCCCACAGGGCTGTGGGCTTGTTATCCCCTCTTGGGGACGTGGGGAGGGATGGTGACCACAGCACTGCTCACTGCTTAACAGTTGCACCATCTGTCTCCTCTCTCCCCCAGGACCTCTTTCATTGCCAGATCATGGATGGGAATTTGTCACACAACCTGAAGACATACTTCCCACTCATCGGTAATGCCCTGCACCCAGACCAGCTCCATGGGGCCATGGGGCAGCCGTGACTTCAAGATGAGGCCCCTCCTGCCCCATCTTCTGTTGTGGCTGGCTGGGCACTTGGGGCTGCTCTTGGGTCACCTCATCTCATGCCTGGAGAAGCTGCAGGCAGGGCTGCCTTGGCCAGAGCATCTCCCATTCCCTCCCTAGGTCACATCCAGATTGCACAGGTGCCAGGGCGGCACGAGCCCGACAGTGCTGGGGAGTTGAACTTCCCTTATGTCTTTGAGCTCCTGGAGTCTCTCGGCTACAGTGGCTACGTGGGGTGTGAGTACGCTCCGAAAGGTGAGTTCCAGAGGCAGGTCCAAGCATGGACTGGCTGGCAGGTCGTGAGCATCAGAGTCCCTACTTGGGGATGAGAGCCCTGCCCAGAGCAGAAGCTGCTCAAGCTTGCCTGGGGTTGCCAGCAGGAGACTGTGTCTGTCACTGCAGGAGACACGCTGGAAGGTTTGGGCTGGCTGCGCTCATACTGGGAGAGACGAGGGCTGCAGCGTGGCAGCACTGGCAAGGCAGCAGAGTAAAACAAGGAAACCACTGGAATAAAAGTCAAAGATATGGCTTAACTGGGGAGTATGTCTGTCTCTTCTGTGACTAAGGGAGGCTGGTGGTGGGTTGCCCCTCATCTACTCGAGTACTGACTGCAGCGTGTCATATCTGGGGCTGGCCTGGGCACCACTGTAGGTGACTTCAGGTACACAGGAGAACCTTCACTCTTCCAGTCTGCAGGGGTGTCCAGGAAGAGGTTTCCAGTCTCTACTTAGGAAGGGTGTGAGTTTTTCCCAGTCTGGCACCAGCTGGTGCCTGGAGTTGTTGGAAGAGGGCTCTGGGCTTCCAAGTTCTGCAGTTCTGGAGGCTGCTTCCAATGCCCAGTGGTGACCCTGTAGCATGTGGGGAAAGACTCCTCACAGGCTGGGGTCTGCCTGCTCATGCATGATCAGGGCTGTCTGCCCTCCTGCTCTTGCTCTGGAGCAAGAGTAAGACTGGTGCAAACCCAGCCAGGGTTGCTTCTGTGGCTGAGACCTTCCACATCCTAGTCTACAGCATGTGAGCAGGGATCTGGTTCAGTTTATTTCACAAGATACAGCAATACCTTTAATGTACATCTCCATAAAAACCTCCCCTGGTCCAGTTCACCCTTCCTGTCCCAGTTGGTGCTCTCCTGATGAAAGCAAAGGGCCAGAAGCGGGCAGTCTCACTCCCCAGAGCTCTGAAGTCCGGGAGTCTTTCCGCCTAAAGCCAGAGCAATGTGGGGTGCTGCCCTGTGCAGAACACGTGCTGCGTGTGCTCCTCCGTGCCTTCCCGGTGGGCAGAACTCACCTGCAGATGCCAAAGCCATATCCCTGAGAGTCGCTCTGCTTCAGCCAAGCCACAGCAGCCAAGCACCTGCCTTCGTAGCTCAGGTCAAAGTCATTCAGTATCAAACCCGCCAAAACCAGACCACCGAGGGCCACACCAGCCATGAAGGCGCACATCCTCAGGTTCCTCCTTCCATGCGTGCCGGGAGCAGCGCTGCCTGCAGTGCTGGAGCACAGGTCCCTCCCAGAGGCCTGTTCTTCCCCATCGTCACCCGTGCCAAGAGGTCTGGTACTCAACTTGCTCCAGGGTGTGCGTGCCAGTGCTAGAGCAGGCCCGTCCAGAGGTTGAAGCAGGCAGTGTTGATAACGGACTCCAGGTGGTGGTACGTGGACACGAGCTGTGGCAGAGGGCTCTCACTGTTCTGGGGCTGCACTGGAAACGGCTCCCGGAAAACCACGGTGAGGCTCTGCCGAGAGGGACAAACAGGTCAGGGGACAGGATTCAGACAACCGCTATGCAGCCCCTCACCCAGGTGCATGGGCACCCCTTTGGCAGTGTCAGGCAGATACTGGGAGATGTCCCAAAATGCCAGTGGCCCTAAGCTAGAGCCTCTTCCTGTGACAGAGCATGTTTGAACCTCCTGTCAATTTTCCTGGTGGAAATTAGCTGCAAGGACCTGCCCACTCTCTCTGCCAGCCCTCATGCATCTGCAGCTACACCAACGCCAGCAGCAGCCTCGGGAAAGGAGGGGATCCTACTGCCTCCACAGTAATAGGGGCTTCCAGGGAAATTAAGAGGGAAATTTCTTCTCCTAAGGCAAAGAGTAGGAGTGCAACAAATGGGGAAGGGGAGGGGATTAAATGAAATAACTGCGAGCCTAAAAATAAATGCTGGCTGCTCCATTCTCATTAGTGACTGTTCTGACAAGGCAGGGAAAGGGCAGAGGGGAGTAGAGAACAGGGTTCAGGAGAGGAGGTTGCAGGAGCTGAAGCAGCGGGAAAGCGTGAGCAACTCCGTGCGCTCCGGTCAGCATCATGGAGGCGAAACACTGGGACTGCACATCCTCCAGAGCTGAAACACAGCACATCTACTAGTAGCCAGCATCCCCTAACAAACTCGTAAAGCCATGAGAACAGCTGTGTAACTGCAAAACAGCAAATGCACTACCATCATTTACGAGGGAAGAGAAAGTGATTTGTGAGCCTAACTCCAGCAGCGTACAAGGCTTTAGAGCAGGCTCAGAAGAAAGAACCACAAGAAAGATGCAGCTTGATGTTACCAAAGTGACCTGCTAACGCTGGAGTTCTCTTTGATAAGATATGCCATGATTCCTTTGTCTAGAAGTACTACCTTATCTGAGCTTCAGGAAGGATTTGATGTAGCCCAACATGGGAAATTTAGGTAAGCTGAAAAGACAAGAATTAACACAGGAACTTTAAGGTGAAGATGGTAGTGCTGAAGAGGGAAGTGGTAGGCCAGAGAGAGGTTACAAATGGAGTTCCTCCAGGACAGGTTTTGGGACTCTCATTGCTTAGTATTTTAATGAGTCTGGCAAAAAGATGAAGAGCATGCTGATAAAATTTGAGGCACTAATACAAAAGAGGATTGGGATAATGCAAAAAAAGCCCCAGAGACTTTTGAGAAGCCACAGGAATAGGATGAATGTTAAGTGCAAAATACAAGACGAGGAACACAAAGGATTTCTGGTATAAACTGAGTCACTGGGAGAGACAGTGGAGGGTCCGGGCATATCGTTATCACTGACCACAAGGTGACACTATGACCAGTGAGACATGATGATGAAAAGGCAAATACCACCCTAGGCTGTACCAGAAGCACCAGGTAGGGACAGAAAAGCTTTAGTACAGTTGTAGAGGATTCTGCTGAGACTCCTCAGGAATACTGGGTGCAGTCCCAGACACATGTATTTACAAAGGCTGACCCTGAAGGGCTCTGAATGACAATGAAGCCATTGGGGAAGGGAGGCTTAAGAGCTCAGCTTGCTTAACACAGCAACACAGAATTAGCAAAACTTCTGTCTTCAGATGTGGAGGCGAATCTAGGGGATCAGGGAGAAAGTGGGGACCGACACAATGAGAAGTGGTTTCAGCTCTGAGCTACCACTGGTATGAAGAGGACAGAACTGGTCATGACAAAAGTTCCAGCACAAAATGGGAAGGGCTCTTCATCCTCAAGTGGCAGGAGTCGCTGAGGAGCATTCCAGCAGGCACCACCCCTTCTGTTTCCCTGACCTGCTTTTAAGATGGACTGTGACATAGTTACAAAGAGATCAGTTACGTTGCAGTCTCTGCAAAAGCCTCGCTGCGGACTGAAGTGTCTTGTACAGGGCAGAGCCAGGTTCTTCTCAGTGATGTCCAATGACAGGACAAGGGGCAACGGGTGCAAGCTAGAGCACAGGAGGTTCCACAAAAACATCAGGAAAAACTTTTTCACTGCGCAGGTGACACAGCACTGGAACAGCCTGCCCAGAGAGGGTGTGAAGTCTCCTCTGGAGACTTTCAAAATTCGCCCGGATGCATTCCT